GAGATGGGGTTTCACCATTTTGGCCAGGCTGGTCTAAAACTCCTGACCTCAAGTGATCCACCTGCTTCAGCTTCCCAAAGCGGTGGGATTACAGGCATGAGCCACCATGCCTGGCCAAATTATGGCTCTTTATAGAGAACATGACATTGAAAAAAGTCAAGGGATCTTCTTTTATCTATAAAGGTAAAATACTTTCATCATATAAGTGCTCATAAATATTTACTGTCTGCTTGATATGGACAGGAGGAGGGTTTAAGTAGTGGTGTAGTCTATTTTCTATTGCTATAACAGAATACCACAGACTGGATAATTTATAAAGAAAGGTTTATTTAGCTCATGGTTCTAGAGGCTGAGAAGTTCAAGAGCATGGTGCTCACATCTGGTGATGGCCTTTCCATACAACATCACATGGCAGATAGGCAGAAGGGCAAGACAGCACATGTGAGGGAGAGCTCCCTTTTATAAAGAAGCTGTTACTGTGATAACTAACCTACTTCCATGATAATAGCATTAATCCATTTGTGAAGGTGTAGCCCCCATGAGCTAATCATTTCTTAAAGGCCCCACCTCTTAATACTATTACAATGGCAATTAGATTCAAGATGAGTTTTGAAGGGAACATTCAAACCACAGCAAGTAGAAAAAAAAATAGCAATATCCCTAACAAGTATACCATGGAGTGCTATATTTCAATATTGGTATTTGCATTTCTTTTTGGTCCTTATCTTTTCTTGTAGATGACTTTAGTCTTTTGTGTTTTCCTTTAATAATCTATTCAACAAATATCTTTTTGAGTATCTATCTTATGCCAGGTTTTGTGCTAGATGACAGTGAAAAATGAACAAGATATTATTCCTTTCTTCAAGTTATTCCAAAAGTAAAATTAGTTACAGCCTATAGATAGTACAGGGTAGGTAATTCAAATACTTTTATCAGTGAGACAAAGTTGCTAAAACTTACATATCTTCTTTTTTTTTTTTTTTTTTTTTGAGACGGAGTCTCGCTCTGTCACCCAGGCTGGAGTGCGGTGGCCGGATCTCTGCTCACTGCAAGCTCCGCCTCCCGGGTTTACGCCATTCTCCTGCCTCAGCCTCCCGAGTAGCTGGGACTACAGGCGCCCGCCACCTCGCCCGGCTAGTTTTTTGTATTTTTTAGTAGAGACTGGGTTTCACCGTGTTAGCCAGGATGGTCTTGATCTCCTGACCTCGTGATCCGCCCGTCTCGGCCTCCCAAAGTGCTGGGATTCCAGGCTTGAGCCACTGCGCCCGGCCTACATATCTTCTTTTCTTTATTGCTACTTAAACACTAAAAATTCCCTACCTTCGTGTCAAACATAAATCTCTATAAACTCAATTTTATGCAATATGCTTGAGACAAGTTGGCAGTATGACACAAGTACATGTAGTTAATCATGACAACAGTGTGGAGAATGGATGAGAGTCAAGACAGACCCATAGAACTTCTACATTTTTTCACAATTTACGACAGCTCAGATTATGGTGTGAATTCTCCACATGTGGAAACAAAGGCTCTGCAAAGATTATCTAATTAAGCAAGGTGACCAGTGTCAAAAGACTAAACATCTCTATTACTTAAACCAGTTAAACATCACTAGTATTGAACACTTCTTGTGCATCTTGGGAAATGATTCTCTATTGATCTCTCACATTTATGCATGTCTTCCGAGTAGCTTTTGTTCCAGACTATCTTTTTGAAGATGTTTGTACAGCAGACAGCTTTAGAAAAAGAAGATAATGTATCTCTCTGCCTCAGAGGACAGATTTGTTTGCTGGCCAGTTGTCTTAGTCTATTTATGCTACTCTAACAGAATACCACAAACTGGGTAACTTATAGGGAATGGAAATTTCTCTCAGTTCTAGAGGCTGAAAGTTTATGATCAAGGAAGGCACCAACCTTAAGTATCTGGTGAGGGTTTCATCTTCCAGAGAGAAAGGATGCAGTGTTTTCACGTGACATAACATGGGAGGGCAAAAGGGACAAGCTCTCTAAACAGACCCTTTTATCAGGGTACCTAATCCCATTCATGAGAGAGGAGCCCTCATGACCTAATCACCTCTTCATGGCCTCACCTCCTAATAACATCGCATTGGCAATACCTGAATTTTGTAGGGGACACGTTCAAACCATAGCACCAGTAAAATAAAGGCCAAGTTTCTACCAGGGAAAAGGCTAGGCAGGTTTGCTGGGGGCCGTCATACAAAAGATTGAGGATTGTTAAGCTTGGAATATCTCAGGTATTCCTCATGCTGTATGTGCCACATCCACTTGGACTCCCCTCTGTGTTGTCCTAGTGGAAGTTGGAGGAAAGAGGTGTTAACATGAACATGAAATTCAGGCTGCCTGCTGTATCATATGGAATAAAGTCCTTTGTCTGTTTCAGCAGTCTCATGCCTTCTACCAGTTCCCATGAAACTGTGACAGGCAAACTTGTTAGCTTGCAAGTAGGGTAAAATTCAAACCCTTCATAGCCTGGACAGTACACCACTTTAGTCCTACCAGCCAGATCTCTCACTTCAGCCACTGCTGCTGCAGCTTGTTTCCTGTAGACCTCAACTAAGTTTGTGTAGAAGTGATTTGATAGTATTCTTGCTTCAACCTACAAAGCGTCCCTCTAGCTGTCTGCCCTGGGAAACCTCTGGCACCCTCATGTGGAACACCCATAGGAACCCACTCAGCATTCTGGCAAGGGGCAGGGAGTTGACCCATGAAGGACAGAAACTAATGGATAAATATTTACTTCCCCTTTTAAACTGAGATGAAAAATTCTACAACACATTTCAAAAGCCTCCTCAGAAGACGCTGCAGGATTGTGTGCCAGTCATCCACAGGAGTGGCTAACCCCTTAATGTTTAATACGTACTCATCTTGGCTTCTCCCCCTTTCTGTTTTGTATGCCTGCTCCCTGGAATCACATTGTTTAATAAATGTTGCTGGGCTTCAGGGGAACCCAGACAGACAATATCTTATATGTCCTAGCTTTAGCAATTCATATTTTAGTGTAAGTTAACATTCTGAATGTTTGAAGAGTTATAACTGCATCAGTATTAGAGGTACCAAAACTGCATAGTACCAAAAGTCTGGGATGCTGAGTTTTGACAGAATCCCAAAACTTTTCAGGTTCTTTAAGAAGAATGTTTAGTCCCTATGTTATGGGAGGTTCTTGTATCACTATGAAGGAACACCTGAGACTTGGTAATTTACAAAGAAAAGAAGTTTAATTGGTTCACAGTTCTGCAGGCTGTACAAGTGTGGTGCCAGCATCTTCTCAGCTTCTGGGGAGGCCTCAGGGAGCTTTTACTCATGGTGGAAGGCGAAACAGGAGCAGGCATGTCACATGGCAAAAGCAGGAGCAAGTGAGAGCCAGAGGGAAGATGCCACACACTTGTAAAGAGCCAGATCTCTTGAGAACTTGCTATCATGAGGACAGCACCTGGGGGATGAGGCTAAACCATTCATGAGAAATCCACCCCCATGATCCAATCACCTCCGACCAAGTCCTACCTCCAACACTGAAGATTACAATTCCACATGACACTTAGACGGGACAACATCCACACTATATCAGTCCCTATTATCAGTCCTATTTTAATTTCTTTCATAGGACTTCCTAACCTCATATTGGAAAGGATCAAACATAAAATCATAACCACAAAATGGCATGAAGGAGGGAAGCGGGCATATCACGTGATCACATTCATTTCTAAAACTGTCTACTCAAGGTTTACAAGAAAAAAAGGAAATTGTGGAATGCTTGCTGTTAGACCAATTTTATGATAAAGTGCTCAATTTGTTCAAGCAAAATGTAAAGTTTAAGAGAACTTATCTTTCACTTTTAATATCCGTGGTAACTACTCATGAGTGAACTACAGTGGAAATATAGTAGAAAGAACTCATTGGCCAGGGGTCTTGCTACAAGGAATTATCTTGTAAAGTTAACTTACTTTGACAAGTTCCAGATGTGCTTCGTACCAGAAATACTGAAATACAGGAACCTAGTATAGATCACAGAGATGTGATTTCTTGCTGTATAGAAGATGAGTGTTTAGTACTCATCTAAACATAGGATCTAAAAATTGAATATAATTTTTCTGCTTACAGGATCTAAAATTGAATATAATTGTGTTTTTTAATTTTATTTTTATTGGTAAAACTGCTATTTATTTGGGGTGATATGCTTTATACATCACATGCTAGAAGACACTGTTCTTTCTCATTCCTGGGCCTCCGTTTTCCCTTTCCTTTTATTTTTTGGTAGCCACATTCAGTCACTTTCTTAGCTATGTGATGGTTGGAAGAAACAGGGGCTATATATGTGTGTGTGTGTGTGTATATATATATATATATATATTTTTTTTTTTTTTTTTTTTTTTTTTTTTTTTTGAGACAGAGTCTGACTCTGTCGCCCAGGCTAGAGTGCAACCTTGCCTCCCGGGTTCAAGTAATTCTCAGGCCTCAGCCTCCCCAGTAGCAGGGATTACAGGCTCTCACCACCATGCCCAGCTAATTTTTGTATTTTTAGTAGAGACGGGGTTTTGCCGTGTTGGCCAGGCTGGTCTCCAACTCCTGACCTGAAGTGATCCACTTGCTTTGGGTTCCCAAAATGCTGAGATTACAGATGTCAACCAACGCACCTGGCCAGCTATATATTCTTAAAACATACAGCTCATGATCTTCAGGGTGCTTAGAAGGCAAGGGATCCTTTTTAGCTCCCTATAACATATTATCTGAGATCACAGTTATCCTTTTTGAGAGACGACCACATGGGGATATTTCTAGGTAGTGAGGACATAACCCTAGTTTTGTAATACCCAGAGGACCTACCAGCTTCCTAAAGAGGTGTCATAATCCGGAGCTCTACATTTTTAGACATTTGTGGTACTCTAGCCTTTTCATGTGGCTAGAGAGAGAATAATGTACTAGCAAACATAAGTATCAACATAGAATTTGAACCATTCAGAAAGACTAGAATCACTGCTATGGACGGATGTTGAATAATTTTATTGACTTTACCACAACCCATTCCCAGCTACACAAGCGGCAGCAAGAAAAGACACCATGTGTCTTTCCCTTCACTTTAATAGAGGCACTGAGTATTGCTGGCTTCTCCACCCTCCTCACGTCAAAATTAAATGCCAGTCACTGTCCATCCATAGTCATGCTGTTAACAAAGACTTCAGCATAGAGACTCCTGCAATATTTCCTCCATCTCCTGCCTTGTGGAGGATCATGGGACAAGTGTATTTTTTCACACGGAAAGAGTAAGCTGGTGCTCTCCTGTCAAGAAAAAGAAACTACCATTAGAAAGCACTAGTTACAATTCTTAGCTGTTGTAATTAACAAATACTAAGTAAATATTTGTGTACTTTGTTTCTCCATATTAAACAACTCATGTATTGCATGGTAAAATTTTTTCTGCATGCCTTAGTGACATTTGGTTTATCTCTATGTTGACTTCACAATGCAAGCTGCAATTATGATGCTCAGCAGTTGGCAAACTTTTTGCATAAAGGGCCAGCTAGTAAATATTTTCAATTTTGTGGGCCACACATCTCTGTGGCAGCTATTCAACTCACCTCTGCCGTTGTAGAGTGAAAGCAGCCATAGACAATACTAAACAAATGAGCATGGCTGTGTTCCAATAAAACTTTATTTATGAACACTAGAATTTGATTTTTATATAACTTTCATGTGTCCCAAATATTATTTTACACACTTTTTTCAATAACTTAAAAGTGTGAAATCCATTCTTAGCTTGCAGTGTGTACAAAAACAGGTAACAGGCTGGATTTGTCCCACAGGGGATTTGGTCTATAGTTCTCAGACCCCTCTGATGTTCCAACCTCAAACTTACGAAAGTTAAGTTTATCACTATATTTAAAGCTTCAAAGTTAATTGTGCCTATGCCTCCATTTTAAATTTATTTTAGGGTCAGGCATGGTGGCTCATACCTGTAATCCCAGCACTTTGGGAGGCCAAGGTGGGCAGATCACCTGAGGTCAGGAGTTTGAGACCAACCTGGCCAACACAATGAAACCCCTCTACTAAAAATACAAAACTTGGCCGGGCATGGTGGCGCATGCCTATAGTCCCAGCTACTCAGGAGGTTAAGGCAGGAGAATCACCTGAACCTGGAAGGCAGAGGTTGCAGTGACCTGTGATAGCACCATTGCACTCCAGCCTGGGAGACAGTATTTTTCCCATTAATAGCTGAACTGAGATAATCAGCACATTTTGAGACTCCATCTCAAAAATAAAAATAAAAATAAAATAAAATAAAAAATTTATTTTAGTATTTTTGAGAAGGGGCAGTGATGGATAGCCTAACTTGAAAATTCTTCTTTGGGATAAAATTTTATATTTAAAACTTAAAACTGAGAAGATAATTGTTCTAAATCTGAAAAACCACTAGCACTAAACCCCAATTAATATTGCTGTATTAAGTTATATCTTAGTAAATCGTCTTAAATAATGGACAGTCACATCTTTAGGTTTTTAAAAAATAAATATTGGCTAATTACAATCTTATTCTGTAATTTTAAAACACAGAAGAATATGAAAAGCTTTGTACAGTATTGATATATCATTTTCAAAATGTGTTCTTAAGCATATTTCTTTTCCAACAAAAAGGCACCAACACGAAGGGCCTGAACTTGAAATTTGTAGGGATTTTTCAAAATTTTTTTTTTTTTTTTTTTTTTGGGACGGAGTCTCACTCTGTCGCCCAGGCTGGAGTGCAGTGGCCTGATCTCAGCTCACTGCAAGCTCCGCCTCCCGGGTTCACGCCATTCTCCTGCCTCAGCCTCCCGAGTAGCTGGGACCACAGGCGCCCGCCAGCTCGCCCGGCTAGTTTTTTGTATTTTTTAGTAGAGACGGGGTTTCACTGTGTTAGCCAGGATGGTCTCGATCTCCTGACCTCGTGATCCACCCGTCTCGGCCTCCCAAAGTGCTGGGATTTCAGGCTTGAGCCACCGCGCCCGGCCCTATTTTTCAAAATCTTAAATCATCTTCTTTAAAGATAACAAACAATTGGAAGTTAAGTCATTATGATTTCATCATAGTGGGTATTTTTCCCATTAATAGCTGAACTGAGATAATCAGCACATTTCAGAGTAGTACCAGATGCTAGCAAGTTTCAGTCCCTGGAGATGAAACTTGACATATCACAGTACTTGCTCCTTGACCTCCCAGTCCTGATAGTATTTTACTCTATATTGGAGCCCTAGGAATGTACAGAAATCTTAATTTTCATAAGTTTACATTTAAATTTTTAAAATATGAATTTGGTCCTGTGAGTCTCTCTGAATTTTAGTAATAATAACAGGATTTTTTTTTCTCCAGAGTGTTTGAAACCTGTCTGTTTTAGGAGGAAAATATGTGTTATTTGTTTTCTTTGTATGCTGCAATTACCTTCAGGTGCAACATATTTATTTCATACTATAAATACTTTTTCTCCCTTGGTAGATTTGCAGGTATTTTTTAATCAAGTTTCCTATTCTTCATGTTTTTGGTTTTTGAAATTGGGTTGCAACTATCCATAGGTATTACCAAAAAAAAAAAAAAAAAGATAAATGAATAGATACACAACAACACTAAATAGATAAATAATTATTATACTAAACTTCTTGGCTTCCTTTTAAAAAAAATTGTTTTTAATCTACTCCTGAGAGATTTGCATCTCTTTAAACTGTGCTACAGGACAATTGGACAAAAATTAGTATCTTTTTTTCAATAATAGAGCATGAAGTTACCTGTACTTGAAAACTGAATTTCAATTTGAAGGCAGCCTGAGTAAGGTATGAAAAAACTTAAAAAAATATATAGTTGAGGTCTCCTGGAAAACTGGATATCCACAAACAAATGAATAAAGCTGGGGCCAGGCACGGTGGCTCATGCCTATATTCCCAGGACTTTGGGAGGCCGAGGTGGGCAGATCACCTGAGGTCAGGAATTCGAGACCAGCCTGGCCAAAATGGTGAAACCTCTCCCTACTAAAAGTACAAAAATTAGCCGAGCGTGGTGGTGGGCACCTGTAATCCCAGCTACTCAGGAGGGTGAGGAAGGAGAATGGCTTGAACCCAGAAGGCGGAGGTTACAGTGAGCCGAGATTATGCCACTGTACACCAGCCTGGGTGACAAAAGTGAGACTCCATCTCAAAAAAAAAAAAAAAAAGAATGAAGTTGGACCCTTACCTAACACCATTTACAACAATTAACTCAAAATAGATCAAATATCTAAACAAAGAGTTAAAACCATAAAACTCTTAGAAGCAAACAAAGAGACAAATTTTCTCAACATTAGATTTGACAATTATTTCTTGTATATGACACCAAAAGCACAGGCAACAAAAGAAAACAATTGACAAACTGTACTTTATGAAAAGTTAAGCTTTTGGGATTTTTCCTCTTGGGAGTAAAAACAAAACAAAATATTTGTGTATCAAAAGACACTATTAATAAAGTAAAAAGTCAACCCACATAATGGGAAAAAATATTGGCAAGTTATACATCTGATAAGGGATTAATACCCTGAATATAAGAGAACTCCTAAAGTTCAACAATTCAAAAAAATTCAAAAAATTGGCAAAAGCCTTGAATGTACTTTTCTCCATAGAAGATACACAAATGGCCACAAACACAAGAAAAGATGTTCAACATCAATAATTACTTGGGAAATGCAAGTCATAACCACAGTGAGATTCCACCTCACATCCATTAGGATGGCCACCAATAAAAAAAAAAAAAAAAGGGTTGGCAAAAATGTGGGGAAATTAGAACTCTGTGCACTGTTGGTAGAAATGTAAAATGGTGCAGCTGCTGTGGAAAACAGTATGGTGGTTCATTAAAAAACTAAAAATAGAATTACCATATGATCTAGCAATTCCACCACCAGGTACATACTCAAAAGAACTGAAAGGGTCTCCCATGTATACCCATGTTTATAGCAGCATTATTCACAATAGCTAAAACATCGAAGCAACCCAACTGTTCACTGACACATGAATGGATAAGCAAAATGTGATACAGTCATCCCTCGGTATCCATGGGGGATTGGTTACCAGACCCCCCGCAGATACCAAAATCCATAGATCCTCAAGTCCCTTATATAAAATGGTGTAGTATTTTCACATAATCTAGCCAATCCTCCCATATATTTTAAATCATCTCTAGATTACTTGTAATACCTAATACAAAGTAAATGCTAAGTAAATAGTTGTTATATTGTATTGTTTAGGGAATCATGGCAAGAAAACGTCTGTATATGTTCAGTCCAGATGCAAACATCTATTGTTCCCCCTGAATATTTTCAATCTCAGTTGGTTGAATCCGCAGATGTGAAACCCACAGATACAGAGGTTGTCTATGCACACAATGCATCTACATACATGGAATACTATGTAGCCTTAAACAGGAAGGAAATTCTGACATATGCTACAACACAGATGAACCTTGAGGACAATATGCTAAGTTAAATGCGCTTGTCACAAAATGGCAAATCTGTATGATTCTGCCAGAGTTACTTAGAGTAGTCATATTCATAGAGACAGAAAGTAGAATGGTAGTTGCCAGGGTCTGAGAGACTAGGGAATGAAGTTATTGTTCAATGGGTATAGAGTTTCAGTTTCATCGGGTGAAAAGCGATCTGGAGATGGAAGGTGGTGATGGTTGCACAACTATGTAAATGTACTTAATACCACTGAACTGTACACTTAACAATGGTTAAGATGGTAAACTGTATATTATGTGTATTTTACCACAATAAAAAAGGAAAAAATATATAGTCAAGGTCTAATCCAAATGAAGACCTTTGTGTTCAAAGGATCCTAGATTCCAATTTCAGCTCTGCCACTTTCTGGCTTCTTGTTATCAGTAATTTACTTAGTCTTTTTTTTTTTCTTTAAAGACAGGATTGGTCTGCCTCCCAGGCTGGAGTTCAGTGGCCTGATCTTGGCTCACTGCAGCCTCGACCTCTCAGGCTCAGGTGATCCTCCCACCTTCACCTCCCAAGTAGCTGGGACTGGTGCACACCGCCATGCCTGTCTAATTTTTGTATTTTTAGTAGAGATGAGGTTTCGCCCTGTTGCCCAAGCTGGTCTCAAACTCCTAGGCTCAAGCAATCCACCCACCTCAGCCTCCCAAAAGTGCCGGGATTACAGGAGTGAGCCACTGTGCCTGGCCAGTCTTTTCTAAAGCTAGTATTTCTCATCTATAAAATAGGTCCAATAATTAAAGAATTAATAAGATAGCACATAAAAAGGTCTTACTGCAGTGCCAAA